TTCCTTCCTTCCTTCCTTCTTTCTTTCTTTCTTTCCTTTCTCTCCCTTCCTTCCTTCCTTGCTCTCTCTTCCTTCCTTCCTTCCTCTCTCTCTCTTTCTCTCTCTCTCCTCTCTCCTTTCTCTCTCTCTTTCTGCACGAGTTTTGAATTCAAGGTTTCATTCTTGCTAGGCAGATGATCTGTCACTTAGGTCAAATCTTCAGCCTTCTATTTGTCTTCTAAGTTCATAGGCACAGGTGGCCATCATCTACCTGTGTCTTCCACTTAATCATTAACAACTAAAGAAAGATTCACACAGTTCCACAAGGCAATCATATTGTCAACCACCCTGTGCAAATTTTAGGAATAGCAGGCTACCCCAAACTACAAATAAAATATTCCAAGCTGGGTGGGATGAGGAATGCCTATGGTCTCAGTCTCAACTTCTCAGGCAGCTGAGGCAGGAAGACCACATAAGCCCAAAGTCTGAAGCCAGCTTGAACAATGTAACTACAGTGTATATATCTCAAAACAACAGCAGCAGCAATAATTAAATTGCAGGTTATTTCCAATCATCAGACAAAATATTCTGAGCTGTATCAAATAGCAATAGAAGAAAGGAATGGTAGAAAACAGAGTGAAGGAATTGGTTTAAAAACTTTCAACTTGGAAGTTCTCTCAACTAATTTTTGTTGTCGTTGATCATGGGGCTTGAACTCAGGATCTAGGCACTGTCCTTGAGCATTTTTGCTTAAGGCTAGCACTCTACCACTTTGAGCCATAGCTCTACTTTCACTTTTCTGGTGGTTAGTTGGAGATAAGAGTGTCACAGACTTTCTTACATGGGCTGGCTTTGAACTACAATCACAGCCTCCTGAGCAGCTAGGATTAGAGGCATAGATCACAAGCACCCTGATCTCAGACTAATTTTACAGTCAAACCTAAAACTTAATTCATATGTTTGGTATATTTCCCTGTGATCTTTTCCATCATTCCACAATTAAGTTTTACCAACAACACTAATGAATGTATCTTGGCTCATAAAAAGACTACAAACATCAAAAAGCCATGAGGAAGGGACAGTGACTTCAGTGCCAGAGTCAGTTTTACAGTGAGCTCTGAGAACTTGGGCCTGGAAATCCATAAGTGGTCCTTGGGTCTCAAAAACTCCTCACCTCTTCTATGTCAAGAATAAAGTCTTTTACTAGGAGGCTGTGATATAAAGATCACAGTCCAAAGCCAGCCAGAGAAAAAAAGTTCATGAGACTAGTATCTCCAATTAACTGGTAGAATAGCTGGAAGTGGAATTGTGGCTCAAGGGGTACAGCACTAACCTTGAATGAAAAAACTAAGGGAGGGCTGGGAAGGTGGCTCAGTGGTACAGCGCTTGCCTTGCATGCTTGAGGCCCTGGGTTCGATTCCTCAGCACCACATAAGCAAAAAGAAAAAAG